AGGCTACAAGGATGAGTGTGTGAGACCCTTCCAATGGTCATGTAATCTAGCCAAAACTTTCCTATACAGCCATACTTAGGCTCAGGGTACTTGGGTGTGTGTAGGACCCTTCCAATGGTTACATACCTTAACCAAAACTTTCCTATATAGCCATATTTAGGCTCAAGCTACACTTTTTTAGTAAAACCTCCTAAGATTAATTGCAAAGAGAGGCAATTGGTTGTGCACTAGTAGAACACTGCAGCACTTAACAGAGCCAAATGGAGCGTGAGTGAATCTTTGCCATTCTACATGCTACTATGTAGCTTGCAGTATGAGGGAACTTTGCTCCATCAGTTGGTGATCAATCGTTACCCATTGCAGTTAATAACTGGTCAAATTTTGGCTGTGCAATTGAACTACTAAAAATCTTCTGGATAGGTCAATGTTAGAGGACACCTGTGGTTGTACAAGCAAGCATGGCATGCTGGATCTTGTAGTTCATCAACTACAGTAGCACTTCAGGTTACCAATTACAGCTCTGTATCTTCAAGCTAATTAACACGTTTGGTGATGTTATTATTAATTCTTATCTAAAAGTCATTTTCCTTAGAGTGCAAGCATGTGCATATGTACATACGTTATCACATTATTAACAAGCAAGCCAACAAGCTGGAGACATTTAATATACTCTTAAAGGGAACCCATCACCCAAAAAAGGAGTGACTGAATGTAATGTGGTTCATTTGTTAGATGAAGCAGCATATACCCTCCCAATCTTTTAGTGTAATAATGTTAATACTTAATGGCACATATAATCTGCGAGCAGTCGTTTTTAATAAATACAGTGTACAGGAACAGCAAAACATTAAGTGCTGCTTATCACACACACTTCCGCTATATTATTCAAACAGAGGGCACCGACCCTGTTTATTTTCCACTGCTGATAACTGAGCGATTTCAGAAGGAATTCAAAAAGTAAGAGTTTCCTTTAATGGAGTTGATTTACTAAAACTAGAGAATGCAAAATCTAGTGCATCTCTTCATAGAAAGCAATCAGCTTCCATTTCTTTTGCCAAAACTTAATTGAACAAGCTGAAGTTATAAGCTGATTGGCTAACCTGCACAGATGGACCAGATTTTGCACTCACCAGTTTTCAGCCCTATTGTGTCTGTCTAATGACACTGTCATCTTGCTTCACATGTGACAGATTTTCTCTATATTTTTTTTATGTAATGGGTAGTAATACGCTTGATTAACTAAAGGACTTATATTAGTAAATTCGATGAAGTTGTATTTATTTATCATGCAAGGGAATTAAAAAAAATTCTTACTTGCATGTGATTAGGAGATTGAAATGAACATTCATTTGCAAAGTTCTTTTCTTCTTACAGACTCATACATATGGGTCCCCTCCCTCCTAGATTGTAAGCTCCAAGGAGCAGGGCCCTCGAACCCCTCTTGTATTGAATTGTACTGTTACTGTACTGTCTCGTGTACTGTCTCCCACCATAATGTAAAGCGCTGAGCAAACTGTCGGCGCTATATAAATCCTGTATAATAATAATAATTATATATGGGCGCTCTTGTGCGTATAGCGTAAATTGCGGGCATATTCCATAATGAATTGCTGTAAGCGGGTTTACGTCGCATGATGCAGCATAAACCCATGTACAGCCGCATACAGCCATTTATTACTATGGTCAACTGTATGCAGCAGCTGTGTATCCTCGGCAAGGAAATATTCTGTCAATTTATATTTAGAAGCACAATGAATGGTAATAAAAAGTCAAACAGCTCCAGGTATATCTCAGCTCTGATGCCTATCCAGTATGGCTAGGTGCTGGTCCAGTTTGTCTTGCTGCTAGATATGTAAGAAGAACATTAAAGAATCACAGATCAACCAGAAAAAAAAGTTATTGAAGGTCCAGTTGTGTGGTGAAACTTTCACACTTTTGGTCGAGGTCTCTAAATGAGTCAAACAATATAAAAGATACACATCTATAGTTTAATCCATAGAAAAGTTAGCAGACATACCAATGAAATATAGAGTTGTCTCTTTCTGGATTTATATTGAGCACTTTAATTAAAAGCAGCTGATGAAGCCATTGTCGAGGCAGTGGACATTACGTAAAAAGTGTAAGCCTACAGGTCGGCATACCAGTGCTTCTTCTCCATGTTGTGTCTTATTTGTCTCAGTTAAGGTATTTACTACTGTTTGGGAAAACAGATCAGGGAGAGCGAGGCTATTGTTGTCTTGTGATGCTGATGGATGTTGAGTGCCTGACCCCGCTTCCTGAGACATGACTTCACTGCATGCTGAAAACACTCCGATTTTTGGGGGTCTCCTCAGGGACTTCTTGATAAATCATCTTTCTTTTCTTTCTTTTTTTTCTTTTTTCTTACAAAAATGCCAGAGAAAATATTTCAGGCCCCGTCTTTGCTGCGGCAGAACTCACGTGTCACTCAGAACAGTCAGCGACGAGCAAAAAGAGACCTCAAAAGACATATTTTCTGGCGGGATAAAGGCCCTTTAATGCCTGTCCAGCCTTAGATAATTTTATTCACTCCTCCTGGACCTTCCTTTATTTCTCCTGTGCCCAGAGATCAGTTTTTAAGAGGTGGGCTGAAAGATTCCCAGGCCTAAAGCGCTTTTGTTTGGCACCCCCCTTCCCCCTGAATCAAGGCTCGGAACATTTGTAAAGGGACGTCTGCTGGTTGCTAAGAAATAGTTAAACCTCTGTCACTAAGAGAGAGAGAAAAAAAAGAAAGATTCACAATATTGATTGTACGAAGGTATATCTGGACCACACAACACGAACGCTTACTCTAGAATATCTCTCCTTTTTTTTGTCGATCTTGGGGCATTACCCTGCCTGAACTTGTTTAAACCCTCGTGGTCACACTTGAAAAGGTTTTGTTCCGACCGTCAATTGGTATTCAAACCAGGTCAGCAGATACTGTTTGCTGCTCCTAGGACCGTTTTCATTTTAATTTGCACCTGTTGTGCAGTTGTTCAGAAGGCAAGTGCAGACTCGCAGATTATACAAAGATCATATTATGGGCAGATATGCACGGTGTAATCTTTTTGTCCCCAGACTCCCATGACAAAAAAGGAAAAAAAAAATTCTGTCTTTTTTGTTCCTCTTTTTTTCTCCCTGGGAACCTGTCAAAGCAAACAGATATGACTGACAAAAAATTTGTAAGTAGTCGTGATTCAAGAATTCAACCAAAAGCATTCTAGTACTGACACACAATCCTTTTTTTTTTTTTTTTTCTTCTCGCTTTCCTGCCACTTTTCCATAATCCGATCGCTGGCAAGAGCCACTTGAGATAGCTCAGTTGATAATTTAGGAGAGGGCGGCTTTATTAGATTCAGAGAAATCAAAATGAACCTGAAAATTGTTTTCTTTCTAGCCCCCCTCCCCATTCTCCAGTCCCCCCCCCCCCTTGTTCCCATGATGTCATGGCTTGGACTTGTTTTTTTGTGCGTGGTTGTAGAGAGTTAGGTTAACGTATCTTGGCAATCCCATGTGTGCCTAACGGATGGTGTGTTTCTGTCGCTGAGCTAATGCCCTGTGTTTATTACGCTAATCTTTCTTGTCTGCTGGTAAAGTGGACAATTTATGTGCTATCATGTAGGCCGAGTTCCTTGTGAGGGCTGACTAATTCACAAACAGCCACCTTCAATTGAGTTCACAGACCTTATTTGCGGCCTGTGCTTGTGTGTTTATATACAGCTGCTTCACAGGAGTTGCATGGTGGGAATTTAAGTTCCTTTTATCGGAGTTTTGATCTCTACATTGCTTGAAATTTCTCGAGAATTTTCAATCCAATGATGCTTGCTTTATTTCCAAGGCTAGCCATTGAAGAACAGGCTTGGAAATGTCTTTATGTCCTCTGTAGCTCCAGGATCAAGATTTGCTTGTGAAAACCATGTGGCCATCTGCTTCATCACATAAGTGATTCTGTGCTTTCTTCCTCCTCACTTGGGAAAGAGTTGCTCAATAGTCGTAATTTTTTGTCAAGCCGGGTCATTTCTCTATGCCAGGGGTCTCCAAACTTTTCAAACAAAGGGCCAATTTACTGTCCTTCAGACTTCTGGGGGCCAGATTGTGGCCAGTGGGGGTAGAAAATGTCCTGGGCCCAGCATTAGTGAACATAAACATGGCCTAGGGGTTGGTGATCAGAAACAGGAGGAGTAGTGCTCCATCATTAGTATTAGTGTGGAGAATAATACCCCATCGTTGGTGTCAGGGCAAGAATTATGCCCCACTGTTGATGTCACAGGAATAGTGCCCCAAGGGCCAGATAAAGGTTAGCAAAGGGCCACATTCGGCCCTTGGACCACAGTTTGGACACCACTGCTCTATGCTATCACAAACAATAATGACACTTGAAAGTACTCTTTACTGTCTGCATGACCAGTTACCTCCAACCTGACCACTTGATGTGATCGCCTGTTCAGTTTCAGCAGAAATGGGTAGTCTAAGGACAGCTCTGATATTATTTGATGACATAATCATAGGGCAGCTATTGATGACATTATCATATCATAGTAATGACATTATGGCAGACAGGACCTCTCCTGTGAGGGACTTAGGAGTATTTGGGTTTGTGGATTAGCAGTACTCTCAGAGAATCTTAGTAGTATGAAGACAGACCAATATGGTTTACAAGCCACATTAATCATTTGGAGCCAATACTACAAGTGTTCAGCCATTTTAGTCCTTAATTTAGAAACATTTAATATGATTAAAATAGCTATTTGGCAACATCACCACCATGGGATTTCACTCAAAGTTTGCAATATAATGAAACCAATTTTAAGGTTCTCCAGTTTCTCGCCTTCCAAAAAGAAAAATGTCTGTCCCTAACCACTGGTTGGAGTTTGGATGATATGACAAGTGATGACACAAATATATTAACAGACAACAAAGTGGTCTTGAGATTGTTTTGTATAGTTGACCGGTTTAGGCGCTACATTATTCTAAATTGTATATTTCTCATTTGTTTTGCAGTATTAACCTATGACAATGTAGTAGACACGGGTTCGGAGACAGATGAAGATGACAAACTGCACATTGCTGAAGATGAAAGTATTATCACCACATTGGACCAGGAAACAAGTCCGGCTAGTATGCTCAATCATGAGTCTTCACCACATGCCAACCAAGCATTACTGGCAAGAGAAGAAGAGGAAGATGACCTGAGGGATGGCGGGATAGACCACAACTGGCACAATGATGATCTTCTGAAAGCTTCCATAGATGGTTCTGGTAAGTGGAAAATAATTTTTTCTGTAAACCCAGCCAAGTACTAGGATTCATGTATAAAAATAATAAGAAGGGATTCTCTTTGTTTCTCTTGTTTGTTGTAGACACAAATCAAACTCTAATTGCTCTTTTCGTTCTTTATGATGAAAGCTTACATAGAGTACAGGCAACACAACTCTTTTCTCACAATTTTAGGTTCATTTATGTTAAAGCAAATAGGTTACTGGTTAGTCCATCCTCTCTGCAGCTAATACTTACCTTCCCTTGGCTAGCTCACAACTATGTATGGAGCCCTGTGAAATACCTGGTACTTCTACGTATAGGAGAAACATGCACCCCTCTTGCCTTTCTCCCATGTAGTGTTGGGTGCCTGAACAGCTAATCATCAGGCCCAATCACATGGGATGGGATAGGAGACCCACCCAGAATGTTCCTGGAAAACACACAGGGATTATATAGGGAGTTCTGCTGGTGTTGGGGGAGATAATGGAAAATAAGTTCTACCAACATACTTGCAGATTAAGGAATACTTACCTTGCAAGTGTGCTTATCTCTGGGGCTGTGCAATGCAGGCCCTGTCCCCACTTCAGGTACTTCTGGGTTCCCAAGCATCCTCTCTGGCCATTGGACAGCTATCAATATTGTAACTGGTACCTGGCCCATTCTCAGCAACATACAGCTGGCAGGAAAGAGCCAAGAGTGTACTGCATGGCACATTTGCCATACAGTGTACACAGAAAATAAAGAAATTGCAAGGGGAAAGAGGAAGAAATGTTTTTGGGAAAGAAGACTTTGCATGTCTCTTCTGCCAAGACCTTGTAGTTAATTTTTATGTAGAGTATAATTGCCCTTTAAAGGGTCGGTTCAACCAAAACAGATAATTCAGTTTTGGTTAGATGCTTGACATCTCAACTACTTCGTTGTGACCCTCAGAGACCCCAGTGGTGAAAAGTACTATTATTAAATTTTTAGTTTTGCAGATCTTGCCCTATCATTGTTTTTTTGTTGTTTTTTTTCTGCTTCCCACTGTATTTTGAATGTATTTTTTATTATGGAGGATGCAGCAAAAAAATATGAAAGTTAACAGTAAGTTATCACTGTTGGAATTCCAAAGATATATATGACAGGGTGTGACTCACAGCAGACTCCACCTATAACAGAAACATTGCATTTGCATGGACTGACCCTTTAAAATATGATCACCAGCAGTGCATACTTCATTGTTGTTTTAAGTGCTGGTTTTATGGCCTTAACTCCTTGATCCATCCCCTAGAACTAGGGAGTCTATCATTTAAAATCCAGTTTGCTGTTGGTCTGTTTTTTTTTTTTATGTCAAATGAATTACTTGCAGCATCTGTATCCGAGCTTCCAAACAAATTATAAACCGCTTGTTAAATCTGATATATATTTTTTTTTCATGAGTCAGAAGGGCTGAACATTTTCAGAATCTCACATAAACATTTATCGTCAAAAGCTCCAAGACCTTAAGGTTGCAGGTTTTTGACTAGGGGGGAGGCTAAGCTAAAGATGGTGGAAAGATAAATACGTTTAATTAGGGGGCATAGGATGATCATTAAAGGAAGTCTGACTGCTGTACAAGTCATTAACAATCTTAAATGAAATTTTTATTTTTATGATAGCCATTTACATGTATAATAAGACCCAATGATTCTTGGGAGCCGGGTGACAGAAACTGAGTGCGGCAAGAAGTCTTGTATGACATACTATTTAAATGAGCTGGCGTTAGCTATTCATATTTGTTAATGAACTAGATAGTCGCAGCCATAAGAATGAATGTACTGATGGTTTAAATTTTAATATCTAGAAATCAAGGGTAAGGGCCAATTACTGAGATTTTTTACCCTTAAAGGAATAATTAATAGGGATTTAACAAATGCAAGACTTGAAACTTCTGGGGAAAAAAAAAGTTACTTTTTATTTTTCTCAAATTAGAACCAACTTTTATTCAGAACATTGCAGGCAGGTCTAATTATAAAATCTGCCTGTTTATTTATTTAACCCACCCTTCTGAAAATGTAATTGTCAGTGCAAATAATTCCTCCTCCTCCAAATAAAGTTTAGATTCCCGTTGAAGAGCCCCCATAGACAATTGCAAGATTAGGGATTTTCTGAAAATTTGCATGTCAGAATGGAGACTTAAGTGTTTAAAGACTTTGTTTTTTAAAGCCAGAAGATGTTAAGGATCTGTATTGATTTATGAAAACATTAGGACTGAATTCATACCTCACTGGTGCCCTTGCATGAATTTGTATGTGAAGTATAAGCAATTGTGTGTTTCTATCAATAAGTTCCATAACACACATCAAAGTGTCAAAAAGTGGACAATGCAAGTCAACATGAACTAGAATTTAAACCAGCCTTTCTCAACCCTTTCAAAACAATGGAACATTTTAAATAACTTTCCAGTCTCAGGGAACCCCTGATAAAAATGAATACATCTGCAACTCATGATATATTAGTGTGATGGTCAGTGGGAAGAATGCTCCTTGCACTTGTGGTCATCGGGAAGAATTCTCCCCTTACAGAAAGCTAAAAAGATCATTGGTGTCAGTGGGAACTTATCGGAGAGGCTGGCATTCCTTTTTGCTCAAGGAACCCCTAGCAACCTCTGGAGGAACCTTAGGGTTCTCTGTATGCTACCCTGGATGAGAAACCCTGAATGAGAAACCCTGATTTAAACAATAGCTAAGTGTGCAGAAGCAATGACGTTCATTAAAGTTAAAATGTATAGGTGTGAAAAGGCTCTTCATTCATTTCAGGTACTTATATAGCGCTGTCAAATTTATGCAACACTTTACATATATTGTACATTCACATCAGTCCCTAACCCTTAAGGGGTGTACAATCTAAGGTCTCTAACTCATATACACTAGGGCTAATTTAGACAGAATCCAATTAACCTACCAGCATGTCTTTGGCGTGTGTGGGAGGAAACTGGAGTATCTAGAGGAAATGCATGCAGGCACAGGGAGACCATACAAACTCCAGGCAGGTGGTGCTGTGGTTGGGATTTGAACCAATGACCCTAGTACTGCCAGGCAGAAGTGCTAACCATTTAGCCACTGTGAATGGTTACTTTAGTACTTTAGTAGTGAATAGGCCAAGCATGATCTGGGGCAGCACTGACATCTGCATGGCTTAAGATGGCCAAAGATGTATTGCAATTCAGCTGGTTCAGCAAGGACCAGCCAAACTTCGATATGTGAAAGGCCGCCCCTGTTCAACAGAAGTCAATAGTTAAATGACCAGCTTGAGTCGCAATGCATTGAATCGGTGTTGCTCATTTTAATCGCTTTTTACATATGTTACCACTGAGCTCGCATTTAGCTAAAACTGCACCGAAGATGCATCAAGCAGATGTAAACAGCCTAAAGGACATATTTAAAAAAGCAGTAAATCTCACATTCACTGAATATTCACTGCAGGTGAATCTTCCAGATGCATGTGTTTTCCCCACCTGTGAATGACTGATGGTATATATTTCAGTCGGCTGTTTTCTTTTAGCTCTTCAGGATTCTATAGTTAAAAATTTACAGAACAGTTCTGATCTTTGTAGGCTCCTACAGGGCTATAAAGAAGATATAATTCATATGTAGCAGAATCTTTCAATTATGCATTCATTCTACAGGATGGAGTAACCAACAGGGGAGCAAAGCATCACCATTGGGCTTTATAGTGGCCCTTAGGGTAACTGTGTTGGTGAAATTTCACCACTGTTGTCCCTAAGGGATGAAATAAACTAGTGGGTGATTCAAAGGTCCATAGGTGATCAAGGTCCATCCATTATGGCTGAAATGACTCCAAAGTATCAGTTTTAAGTACTGTTGGAAACAGCTGGGCAGTGTAACAGTTAACTCCTGAGTAATAAGGAACATTTGTGCAATTCGGAAGTGCTTATCATCGTCTGCAACTGATCAGTGTTTTTTTTTTTTTCCATTTTCTTTATTGAAAAGGAATAGAGTCCTTCAGCTCATGTGCATCACATCCAAAGTTTGGCAGAGTGAGGAAGAAAGAAGGAACTGACAAAACGCAAATCACTTCTCAAGATTCTCCCATTCTTCTATACATTGGTCTTTGTGAGAAGGGTTAATAATTAACCCTGCCTGACTTCTTTAAAGCTAAACTCCGGGGAAAACAATTATGTTTCCTTGCAGTGGAGTCGCCCCTGCAATGCAAGAGTTAAATGCTTATTTATGTCTATGGTAATGGAGAAGGGAGTTCTACTTACCTGATCCCCCACTTCCACAGGCTACCTCCAGGCTTTCCCTTGTGCTCCATTGGTTAAAGGTTCTCTGATGGAATTAAGTACAATGCAGGACCCTGCATTGGACATGAGGACACCAAGGGACAGTCCACAAGCTGGAGTGTAGGGGAGCGCTGGCTACTGGGCAAACTGGAATGAGGTAAGTAAAATTGCTTTATCTGGTACCCTAGACATATATATTAAAATCAGTTGCATGTTCCTTTGAAAGCAACTACATGGAACCAGTATAAGTATCTGAATCTGTCCTAATATCAGCTTCCTGTAATTCATGCACAGCAGACTGAAGGAGACAGGGGATGCCCTAACAAGCAATTACTCCATTTTTTGTGACAGGGAAAGCCTTGGGAGCCAATCAGACAAACCTGAATCTGTATTTTTTATCAGCAATCAGACACGCCTTAATCTATCCTTGTATCAACTTCCTGTAATCCTCTGCACAGCAGACTGGGTGAGACAGGGAAGCCCTAGGAGCCAATCAGAAGTACCTGAATCTGGTTTTACTATATCAGCAATCAGATGCACCATAATCTATCTTTATATCAGCTTCCAGTAATCCTCTGCACAGCAGATAGAATGATATATGGTAAGCTCTAAGAACCAATCAGAAGTACCTGAATCTGTCTTTATATCAGCTTCCTGTAATCCTCTGCACAGCAGACTAGGGGAGACAGGGAAGCCCTAGGAGCCAATCAGAAGTACCTGAATCTGGTTTTTTACT